ATACCTCGTCGGAGGGTTTTCAAATAAAAATATTTGGCACATTTTTTAAAAATAATGACTTTTGAATAAAATGATGGACGGCGGCGCGCACGTCGAGCGCCCGGATCTAAGGGTCTATCTCCCGTAGAAAAGGTCGCTGCCCTGCGCCAATAGTGCGCTACGATGCGCAAGATCATTGTGCATCGAACAAGCTATGACGCGTGGCGCTGCGATAAGTAGTTTAGGATAAATGTTGGATCGAGTCGCCAAAATCGATGGTCCCAGAGTGAGCATCTTTGATCATCGAGTTGAGCTGTAGCGGATGCATGCCTGCTATCAAGATTTGGACACGAGCTTGATCAAAGCGATAAGTGTCTACTGTTCAAACGGTGTTAGGGATCTCGAGGGATCCCCCATCGAACTCGCGTGCGGCAGCGGGACCTTTTCTGGTACGGTTTTATCATATTCGTCTCAATCGCCGCTTTTGAAATGGGGGCCTTGCGCAAAACAAAGAGTTGCACTGCCATGTCGCCAGCGCCCAAGCCTGCGTCCAAGCCCAAGAGCTATCGGTGCGTCGGCGACTGCAAGCTTCAGAAGACGAGGCTCTGGTGATGCTCAACAAAGGTGGTATGGCATTCGTCCACCGCGACTTTTTGCCGTGGGCCCAGCGTCTCATGCTTGTGGTGCGGTCGACCTTCTCGCTCTCGCGCGGGAACGAGTCGCTGGCTGCAACGGCCGCGTCGGTAACAAGCGACGACGTCCTACCGCGCCTGTTCGACGAAGCGTGGACCAAGGCGTTTGATCTCAACGAGAGCCTCCTCCACGACACGAAGCTGCGTGACAAATTGCACAAGGCTCTGCAGCTCTCAGCCATGCATGCGCGCATTGGTGTTGTCGTTCACCGATTTTCGGCCCAGTACCTCGGCCGCCACGTTGACAAGTCGGGCACCCTCGCGCTGCGCCAGAAGCTCAAGGCGGAGACGGGCAAGACACCACAGCCATTACAAGGCAAGCGCAAGGCGCAGACACCGGTAGCGGCACCGGTCAAGAGTCGCCAGATGAAGATGACAAAGATGGACCCTACGCCAAGCGCAACGCCAAGTAGATTAGCCTCGACCTACTAATTGACCGATTATCCTCCTTAGTACATGCGTACGTCGGTCTATCGCTCGCAGGGCAACCGTTGATCGCTCATCTCGTGCTGCATCTCGCATCTCCATGTCCACATCGTGATGCGCAATCCCGCAGCATCCAAGTCCGGATGGTATCCGGCGGTTTCCAATCTCTCACGCGGTGGAATAAAAATACCTTGGAATTGACAACAAGCTACCTGGACCTTGGATCTGGCATTTTGAATAAAAATATCTTGAAATTCGGGTCGACGACCACCCTTAGTTATTAGAGAGATTTCGCAACTCACTTCCCGTTTCCATCTGCGCTTCTATCCTGTCATAAATAATAAAAAATGGGAGGTCTCTGAAAACTAATCGTAGAAATCACCCAAATCGACCAAAAACGGGGAGCGAAGGCTCCCGTCTTCGTTCAGTAGGTTAAAGTACGTCAAACAGTGCGTGAGGCTTTAACCTTATTTAACCTGTCGAACTCACGCGCCCATGTCACTTCCAACTTGGCGCGACGACTGACAACTGGCCAATCTCGTCGGACGACGACCGCCCCGATCTTATATCCGTCGATGAACCCCAAGACGTTCATTAGAGGCGACCCTTTAGCGACAATCGCGTCCGTGTACTTCTGGAGGCGCTTGGCGACGAGTGTCCTCTGGAAGAAGAAGACGTCGGCCCACTTGTCGTGGAAAGAGCATCGAGCACATAGTCGTGTATGCGGCACAGAGACTCACGCGACCGACCGAACACGATCATCATATCACAGTACCGCCGAGGCTAGGCCACGCGGTTGAGAGTAACGCGAAGGGCTTCGACAGCGAGGTATCGACCCAGTCCCTCGTCGATAACGACGGCCGGGAGTTGGAGAGCACGTGAGGCGCGTCAAAGAAGTCCCGCCAAAGCGGAAATGCAGGATTGCATCGGCGTCGTTCATCGAGTCGAGAAAGAGGCGCGTTTTCGGGACCAACGACGGCTCGATAACCGAGAGGAGTAAAGTTAGCTGTAGGAACTGGCGGCGGCGCTGACGAGACATACGGCGACTGCGGCGAAGCAACACCACAAGCTCGCGGCGACAACATGGCAGAAATCGATCATGACGAGGCTTACGCGACTGCAGTAGTAGCACAAGACAAAACGAGGATGGGATCTTTCTGAAATTTTGCGAAATAAAAGTTGAAGTTGCTCCCGTCTTCGTCTGCATTCGAATGCAGACGAAGACGGGATGTCCAGTGCGAAATCACAATTTTTACGTGTTGCGTTGCATCTGCTTCCACATAAAACAGAACGCAGATGAAACGGGGAGTGAGTTGCGAAATCTCTCTATTACCGGTATATCCCTTGCAAGTTGGTCACCACGCTGTGACGACGGATGAATTCGGACATGTCCTTGTTTCGATGCGACTATTCACACGCAACCC